ACTATACAGAGTTCTTTTATGTCACTACAGAGACAGCCACTGTAATCAGTTCAAAAAACTATACTTTGCATATATGGCTGCTTCTGTTCCTTTTCCATATTGTACAAATGTCTCCTTCCATATCCTCTTCCAAACGTCAGTGCCACTGTACAACTGGTAGTGTTCAGAGACTCTCCTTATAATTAACTCCTTTTTCTGGGGATACTCAAACTATTTCTTTTAAGTCTCTGCCTACCCTAGGGATCCTAGGGATTTCTGCCTAAATGCAGTTTCAGTTGAAGATTCAGTGCAAGTTCCTGATTCCTCTGGAGTCAATGGTAAACCCTCTTGTTTGACCAATCAGATAAGAACAGTTAAGGGGCAGGCCCTCAGTCTTTAGATGCCAATTTAGAAGCCTATCTACACAAGGGATATGCAGCGTAACTACACCAGTGTACACATCTCCACAAAAGACAGATTATACAAACTGTTTCAGTGCTCCAAAGTGAGAACTATTTGTAAGGAATGATTATAAATTTTCCAGCTGTTTTATGGTACCGGATTATAGAAGAAATCCAAAATAGCAGCACCACCTCCCAGGGCATAATTGAGGGGCATGAGGCAGCAGCAGTCATTACACCACAGGGATGGTTGCTGTCACAATTGGCCCAGCAGGAACCAATGCTGTCCTGGGCACTGCATGGCTGCCCTGTATGTGGAGCTGAGCTGCTAAGCCTCTGCAATTCCCTTACAGTGGTAGGAGAGAAACATAGGGATGCTTTAATATGAAAATGCCCCCTTTTTTTAAGAATAGCTTAAAAGACTGTGTGTATGTTTGATGAATAAAGCAGTTCCCACAGGAGAAATTGTAACAGACTCATAAAATTATAATAAAACCTACAACTTTTCCTGGAATCATTTTCAGTTTGGGGTATTAGCTTCGGAAAGGTCAAAAGAAAAAGCAGTGAAATTCATAATCATATTTTTCCCCACAGATAACTACCATTCATTTTTGCCAAAGTGCTAAAGGTGAAAGAAAATGCAGTGTTTTGTATTGGGGACATGAGTTTCCCTCAAAGCTTTAGCTGTAACCCACAAGAAATTTAGCACAACCTAGTAGTAATTCGTAAATTTATTTTAAAACCAGGTCTTGTATAAACTAATCTTTATTTGTGTCTGTAGGTTTAAACACCAACACTCAGAAATATTACAAATGTTCTTCCCTGACTCCAGCCTGAGGGCATCCAGCCTTCAAAAGAAAAAATATTCTCTCCACCTTAAACATCACAGACAGTTGATTACTACACTCAGATCCAAAATCAGCTCTTTTAGGGTACAGACAGACAGCATTTGAACCTTTCCAAGAATGTCAGATGAGGAGCAGTTCCCAATTGTCTGAGGTCAGAGATGTCTGCACACACACTGTAAAAGTAGAACCACCACCTTTTAGCATTTCAGGACTGTGGAACCACCACCAGGGATGGTGGTGAGTCTTAAACTGATTGCAATTTTCTGCTCTCCCTTTTCACTAACAATGAGTTTAGTAAAGACCCATACCTGCATTTTACTAAAATCTGTGTAGTGGAACCCTGGCTGAGAGTACCTAGGTGTGTGTAAGGCAGGAGTGGTGGGGACAGGACACACTGCCTGGACCCCTGCTTCTGGGTTCCCAGGACTTGTGTGGCTTTTAAAGTGTACATTTGCTCAAGCTACTCAACAATTTGCTTCAATTCCTGGAAATTGACCAGGGTTTGGTGCATCCCAGGCTGATTTGGGAGTGGAGGGGAAGGTTAGATGGGAGGGGGTCCTGCTTGGACCCCTGATTTTGTGTGCCTGGGGGCTCAGGGGACAGTTTTTGGATGCTTTAAAAAGCTGGTCAGTTTCTTTCCATTGGTGGCAGCTGACCAGGGTTTCATACATCCCAGGCTTATTTGGGTGGGGGAGAGGGGTTAGATGATGTGGGGCTTGGACCCCTACTTCTGTGTTACCAGGGACTGGAGCATCAGGAGGCAGCTCTCTGCTGCTTTTAAAGGGCTGGTCAGTTTAATTCCACTGGAGTCCTTGGGCAGCTCCCTGGAGTCCCCAGTCCCCAGGCCCTGAGAAGCAGGGGTCCAGGCTGCAACCCCACACCTGGACACCTCCCGCCTCAGATATGCACTGAATATTGGTTCATTGCCACCAGTGGAAACTAAACAACTCTAAATGTGGCATAAAGCTGCCCCCAGAATCCCCAGCCACGGACACTGTAGTCAAGTACAGGCAATAGAGATTGGGACAGTAAAGATGCTGTGCAATAGGCCTGTGCAAGTTGGCAGTGATCCGATCTGGCTTCGGATCCAGCTGCTTCGGATGACCACGATCTGATCCAGAGCTCCGGACCGGGTTTCCTTCTTGATCTGGCTGAAGCGGCTCCGAAGCTGCCTCAGAGAGCCAGCCATAGGGTATAATGGGGAATCAATGAAATATCTATAACTTTGTTGTTTTTTGTCTGATTTGGATGAAACTTGCAGAAATGGTAGCCTCTACTGATAGCATGAAACTTGCCAAGTTTCAGGAAGATTGGTGCAGGGGTTTGAGGGGAACTGTACCTCAAGCTGCGGACAAGCAAAACTCGTGCCATGGGTGACACTGTGTGTGTTAAGGCGCAGCAAGGTGACAGCTGCAGGGATGGTGGCCCCTGCTGAGGCCACAACACCTGCCAGCCATCCAGGAGAACAGTGCAGGGGAGTTCTGGGGCCCTGCTCCCCTAGCTGTGGACAGGCAAAACTCGTGCCAAGACTGTCTGTCTCCGGGCAGTTGATTGTCTGTACTGATTCTTTCCTCTCCTTAGCCTGGTTTTGTAGGTGCTAATCGATGCTCGTTGTTATGTAGTAGATAGGTCCTGTGTATTGACCTGGTCCCTGAGTCTCTGGTCCCTGAGTGAATCATGATTTATTGATTGGTAACTAGTAACACAGCAGCTTAGCAGCCAAGCCTGCAGTAGTGTCTCCCCTCCCCGCCCCAAGATAGAGAAAGTCAGTCCCACAAGCACCCGTGGCACCAGTTTTGCATGTCTGAAGCTTGAGAGGCATTTCCCCCAAAACCCCTTCACTGATCTTCTTGAAATTTGGCAGGCTTTGTGGCCTCAGTAAGGGCTACCATCCCTGCAGTTTTCACCCCACTATGTTGTAATGCCTAGATGTTACATGAGTTTTGCTTTCAAGAAATTGGGGTGCTGTTCCCCCCAAACCCCTGCACCGATCTTCCTGAAACTCGGCAGACTTCATCCACTCTGGAGAATCTACCATCCCTGAAAACTTCATCCAAATCAGACAAAAAATGACAACGTTATAGATATTTTATTGTTTCCCCATTATACCCTATGGCTGGATCTCAGAGGTGGCTCCAAGGTGGTTCCGAACCACTTCGGGAAGCTGAACAAGGCAGCGCTTTGACCCAGATGTGCTGCTTCAGACCCCGAAGCATCCAAACCATCTCCAGATCCGAAGCTCTGTCTGAAGCCTTGCACAGCCCTACTGTGCAAGGGTTGGGGTAGGGGGATGAGGAGCAGTACAGTGTGGGATGTCTGGAGGATGAACCAGACACTAGTCACAAAAAACTTGGTGATTGCATATAACACAATGAGTTCATGGGGACTCTGAAATTGGTTCAAAATTATACCTGATTATCCAGGTATATTTTTTAAACAGTTCAGGAGGCTTAAACCATTTTAAACTGGCTTGTATGTCTGGCCACCTGAGGTTTAAACCACATTTAAACAGGTTTAAGTGTTATGTCTGTCTGCACCCTTAAGCTGAGAGCAGTATTTTACACTTACTGTGTGAGTCTACATATTCATTAATGCACCATTGTTACTGTGCGTTTAGTTCTTGGATAACCAAGTACTAAATCAATGTGCATAACTTGTGCCACTGCGCAGTAGTATCAACACATGGATTTTTACTGATGCTTATTGTGCAGTAGCCTAATACTACTGCGCAGTAGCATATTAGCATGGTTTTTGTCTGGCATGCTACTGCACAGTGTAGATGTGCCCACTGTGGCATTTAATGAGTGATAAAATGCTTGTTAATGAAAGGCAAAGGCGGCAGCGTTAGGATGTGTTATGCTCAGTACTTTGTAGAGTCACTGACAGAATGAAGACGAGGAGCAAAAATGTTGGTCATTAAAGGTCATTGCCTTTCTATTTCATCCATGTGAAATTAATTTCATGCAATAAACTCCAGAGCAGTTCACACTGGAATTTATTGCTCCTGGGTGCAGCATTTACACATGTGCCTGGGACCACCGCACATTGAGCCAGGGCAACACACCCCGACTTGTCAGAAGGCCTGGGGGGGATAAGCCTGCCAGTCTGGAGCTGCTCACTCCTGGCTCAGTGTGCTGCAGAGGGGCTGGCTGGAGCATGAGGGTGTTACAGTGCAGGGCTAGTTGGTAGGCAGCCCCGCACTGTAGAACCCACATGCCCTAGCCAGCCCCAGTCACTGTCTACACTTGCATTGTGGAAGAGTAAATGACTCCACCATAGAATAGTACTTGTGTTGGGCAGTACTATACTATAGCAGACTTAATTGATGTATTTTGGCCTAATAGCACCACTCATGTAGATGGTAATGCTCTACTGCAGAGCTAATTAAACAATTCTGCAGTAAGCATCTTGTGTAGATGAACCTACTGGGCACATCCATATGTTCCCTAATGCACTTCAAGTAATGTGTACCTCCATTGTGAGGCAACCTGCCTATTTTACTTCCAGTAACCAAGCTCCTTGTTCAGAGCTAGCTCTGGTATCTCTACATATCCTGCATTGCCCAGGTAGACAAACCCTCAGATCTGCCACACTAAGAATAAGAGATGTGTAAGAGGTTTCAAGTTGTGTTTTTGGTATCAAGTTAAATTTTTGCCAAATTCTGATGACAGGAGAAAGAGTGAATTATAAGATGGTGTTCCAGTGCCTGTAAAGCTGGGCAATTAAAAAAAAATCACATAAAACTGACACCTGTAATAATGTACTTGCTTACCCTTCTGTCCGGGAAATGGTCCTGAAACAGTCCCCCAAGCTCCTGTAATTTGTTGGATCAGTTTTCCCTCTTTGAATTTGGAACCTAAAAAATACAGTTAAGTATACAGCATGAGCAGTTTAGGATTTTAAGTCACTTGCAGCTTTCCACCTTTTATATAAAAAGACTTTTAAAGTTAATAGATATATTTTATTCACTATTAGATACTATTCCTTACATACCTGTATTAATGCTATTTTCATAGGAACTAATACATGGAGGAGAAGTACAGCCTAAAAGTAAAATTTGAGTAGTTCATGGTACTTATATAGCCAGCACCTTTTACAACTCTTTCTTGTTGTGCAGAAAATAAGCTTTTAACCCTGGGCCTCATTCCATGACTTGATGTTAATGGGAACCTTTCAATCAGCTTTCCATCAGACCTTGTCTTCAGAAGTTTGAATTAGTTGGTATGGCATGTCACCACTGTGAAATGAATCCACTATACTATTTCTTAAAGGTCCATCTAGCTACAAATAAAATCAACAGGAGATTTTGTTGGAAGTTACATCAAGCTCATAGTTTTCATTTTTCATAGTTTAGCAAAAAGATGGACAATACAGAAGGAAGCTGTCAATGATTTTACTCAATACACATTTTCCCACTAATATGTAGACATATAGTTCTTTCAGCAGAAGGCTGAAAGTGTTTGCAGCACATCATCAGCCTTAAGAGGAATAACACTATTATGTTTCAAGAGTGCAAACATAATGGCTTTTACAGTTTTGGATAATAGTGGTCAGCATAATTCACTGTATTAATCTATTGAGTGCTCCAGCAGTGGCTACACCCACTTCTCAGAGATAGCATTTGAAAAAAAGGAAAAAGACAGTGGAGTATACACAGCTTTTTAAAAATAAGAATGGGGTGGGGGAACAGTATGGCAATACTTTCATTTCCCAATTTGAGAACTGACTGACAGCAGTTAAAAGCCTCTGGCTGTAATAAAGGCAGTCTGTAGTGAAAAGAATCATGTAACACACTAACATGTGCACTCTTACATAATAATTTTAGTTTTAAAATTGTGAAGTAGATAAAATGTTCCCTCTCATGGTGCAGAGAAGTTCCTTACCAGGGACAGTCTGAAAACCTTATTTTTTTTGTAAGACAGAGTTAATTAACATCCTACATCCAAAGCATGCCTTAGTTTAGAATAAGATAGAGTCAAGAAGTTTTCAAGGTGGCATTATCACTAATGGATAATATCAGTCCTACATGGAAGATAACAGTTAATAATTATTCAGAAATTAATTATCATAATCTAGTATCTTTGTGGGGGAAGGGCTAAGCAGAACACAAAATAGGCATTTTCACCTTTTTTATAGTTTTTTTCACACAATGCACATTTTTTTTAGATAGGCACCAGGTTGGGTTGTTGCAGCTGCTATTCCAATATACATGTATTGCTACTTAGTCTGATCAGATAATCTGCAACAAATGAGTTCAATTTTAGTCAGATGATGTTAAACAGCAATTTCCTCCCCATTCTCAATAGGATTCAGCAGTATCAAAAGGGGTTTTGTATTTTGGCAAGAAACAGTCTTAATTTTGCCTATCAAAATTTCCTAAACTGTGTTTTGCACTAACAAATCTAACCATTTTTCTTCAGTCTTGAAAAGAAATTTCCAGTGATGTAATACAAGTCTTTGGACAATTATGAAGGCAAGCCCACACCTCTTTCAAATGCATTTAGAAAACACTGAAGCCCTCCATAGTGCTAATAAAAGTAGCTCAGGCACATCTGGGATCTCTATCTGGGGTTACCTCTTTTATTAGCAGGAAAAGTTGCTGCCAAGTTGGCAAAGTGGAGAATGCTATTCAACAGGCTTACACTCAAATAAGAGCTGATGCATAACATTTTGTCTGAAAAGAACCCTTGGGAAGGCTAATAGTTGAAAATGCTTCAATGGCATCATACAAAGTCCAATGGTAATATCAGCAGCAGAATGTAGTAAGTTGTTACATTATATCAATCAAGCAATCAGGACTTAAAAAAATAGCTCAGCTCAATCAAACATGAAGGATCAAAATGAATTTTAATACTTTTAATCATTTATAATCTCACAATTGAAAAATAAAAAAGTGATAGACTCCATTTGTTAAAAAAAACTTTTAAAATTAACTAGTAAATCACTATATTTTGAAATAAACTTTTTAACTATATTAATAGGAAGACAGGCCCATAAAACTTTTCTTCGGAACTTTTAAGACTTGAGGCCTAACAAAGAACTTAGAACAAAATTCTCTGCTTCAAAAGAACACTTTAGAAAAGCCTAGATCTCAATCCTGGAAAAAGTATGCACAGGCTTAAATTGATAAATGTGAGCCTTCTCCAAACTTTCATGTCTATGCAGGAGAACTTTTATAATCTTTTCTCTGATGCCTGATGAAGGGTGTTTGTGCTTGAAAGCTTGCAATTAAAGAATTGTTTTTGCAAAAATCTAATCAGTCTAATAAAAGATATAATCTCTACTACGAGTCCTGATTGCTTCAGCCCAGATATTATTAGATACCCAGATGCATACAGGTAGCATACAGGTAGCCTATGTCTAAGTGTTTGCAGGACTGTGGTTTTAATGCTACACTCATCATGAATTACCCCAAATGAGAGAATATTCTCTCTCATTTTGCCTATCTTATAGCTAGATCTCACTTTTATGCACATGCTTTCATACAAATATGTACCTCAGCTAATAATCATTAAACCTCTAGAAAAACTAAGCAATTTAATCATATGTCATGGGATAAACAGATAATGTCTCACTAAAGAGGTTCCATAAAAAGGTTTACATTCATTTCAGTTTCTTGTTATAAAGGAGATAAAATCTTCCTATCGAGTCCATTTTTAAAACTGAGTCACACAAATACCATATTCCTTCCTTTAAGGTTTTTGGATCCATTCCTTCTCCAGTAAATCTTTTTTATAGCTTTAACAGCAATTCCAAAACATATGCCAATTATGTGCTTCAATCTAGATCTGTGAATTGGGTTCTTTGATTTGGAATTGCTTACCTCAATAAAATCACATTTAACTTTTTAATGAACTAGCTAATTTAATCACCAGCACTTGTTATAAGAAGCTTGAGGAAGAGCTGGAAAGATCTTTGTTTGTTTTTCTGGGGGCAGGATCAGTAGCCTGTAGTAGTAATTGTGATAACAAAGAACGGTGAGAGCATTCACTTCAAAAACAACCTGGTCTGTTTTACATTAATGGTTACAGAACAGCATAACCTAGGGATATACAACACTTTTTCATCTTGGAACCCATTTATCTCTGAAACCAATATTATCCAAGTGTTCATAATCCAGTGGATTACAGGCACCTTGGAAAGCAGGATAATTCTCCTGTATGTGATTAGGCCTTGTTAGAATAATACAAGCTAAATCTCCTGACTAAATATGAGGAAACAAACATTTCTGGTCTAGTTAAGATCTTGAAGTTTAAAAAAAGCAAACTCAGCTACGAAACAGTTTTCAGACACAGAATGCAAGGACACTGAACCAATAAAGACCTGAGCTAGCAGTGCGACTTTGTGCGAGCACCAGGCCAACAGTGCCACCATACAACAAGCAGTACAGACATTGGACACAGAGGCAAGTTTATTGGATCTGACCACTACAAGAAGGTTTAAATTACTGATGTTTTCAATTGGATTTAATTCCTTCTCCTCTGGTTTTCTTGCTGCTTGGCTTTCCAGTCTGGCTAAAATGCTGCAATATCATCTTCCTCATTAAGAGGTAACAACTGCCTCTGTCTTTAATTCAGAAGATATCTTAAAATGAATGCTTCCCAAAATGGTTGAGTATAGGAGCCTGAAAGGGGAGTGGGATTAGATTAAATCCAGGAAGGATTAAAACCATGTAAAAATTTGCTTTTAAAATAATTTTCTTATGAGACACTGGGGTTTATTCACAATTTAGTGTCAAAGTTGCAAATATCTGTGACCTAAATATGTTTCACTTAAATAGCCCACATTTGCATGCCTTTACAACTGGTGTTTATGGGACAATTAAGTTCCTTTTACCATGATATCAGGACAAACGCAATATTTCTGAATTTAAACTATCCTTGAACAGTGATTTTACTGCATTAGACACAAAGGCTAAGTACAAATGTTCAAGAGGCCCGAGGCAGAAGTGCTATAAGTATAGTGCTTTGCTCAAAGTGCTTTAGATTATGTCCGGGCAGAACAAAACACACATGCACTGTTCAGTGTGGGTGGCTCAGAGCCTGCCTACGGTGGCTGAGATCAGCAGACTGGGGACACTCCCACATGCCTCCTAGGAGGCTGCAGAAGAATGCCAAGCCCAGCTGAGTCGCTGACCACTCCTGATTGACCAGCAGGGCCCTCTCCCCAGCCCTGCCCACCAGCCAGTTGACTGCTGTCAGTGCTAGCACTGGCTAGGGAGACAGGGGGAAAAGTAGCCCCTCTGTTGCATGGATCCCCCCTCTCCAAGCTTGCAGGTATGGATGTTGGTACGGGCTGGGTGGGGTCCATGCAGTGGAGAGGCTCTGTTTCCCCAGCTGCAGCCAGGAGCCACAGCTTCGGGCTCCACTGCTTTTTACCACACTAGGAACTGTAATGGGGGTGGGGGAGTGGAGAGGAGCCCCTCTGCCATGCAGACCTGGCTTAGACCCCACCAAGACCTGAGCCTGCTGTAGGGGCAGGGGATCCTCATGGCAAAGAGGCTCCATTTGCCCCCACCCCAGGCACAGTTTCCAACATGGTGGAAAGCAGCAGAGCCCCAAGCTGCAGCTCCTGGCTGCAGCTAGGGAAATGGAGTTTAGGCAGGGGCAATGCGTAGCGGGTGCACAGGGGTGCACATGTATCCCTTGAGAGTGCCGGTGCACGCCCTGTCATGCCGCACTCCCTGTTTAGCTGGCAGAAAGGGGGGCAAGTGGGAGCCCCAGTGCCCTCCCTGTGAGCACTGGACAGGGAGCAGGGCCGCCAGCAAAAGTGGCCGTGCCACTTCTGGACGTGGCTGTGGGAGTTCCAGAAGCAGCGTGGCCACTTTTACAGTGAGTGTGATCACCCACAGGGACC